AGAGGGTCAACAACCTGATCTTTACGAAATAAGAGTGAGCTCGCATTCACGAAAAAAAAGAATAATATAATTTGCTACTATATTTCACCAGCAATATCTTGCAAGGAACAAAACTTTTCTGTTAATCAGCATATGGTTCTTTTATATATGTGTAACAATACACCAACAAAGGAATAACCACAGGAACGAGAGTAAGGATGAAACGAAACATCATTGTCATGGTATGTGAGTGAAATAGGGAAACCTTGTTTCTTTGGCGCCGTGGTTGGGTGATACCATTCAGCTTCTCATAACCGTTAAAGCTTTTCTTCGCAGATTTTCAATTTTTTTACTTCTTGCTCCAATATTTTTAACCATAAACTGAATGTAAAGCGTCATAGAGGTAGCGTGCGATGAACTTTTGACGCATATTCTTGTCGCCACGAAAAGGGAATGATGACCTGTTTGTTGTTTTCACTTTTTTCTGCTATTTCAACTACTTGATAAAAGTAGTCTCTGATTCATGCCTGAAAAACTGCTCTAGGTAGCACTGAAATAGTGCCTACGTAGAATAATTTGATTATGAGGTAAACTTTGTGTTGCTGAAACCGGATAGACAACTCCAATAGTTTGTATCACCGCAACATGAAATGTTACGTATCGAACAGTTGTTACTTAATCATTAGTCACGTTTACTTTAGTTCTCAGAAGTAGACGGTTCGTGAGATAAGAAGTTTCAAGCAAGATGATTACGCTATATTCCTATCCTAAAGCTCCGAGAAGCTACAAATGCGCAAGAAAAATATCTAACAGAAAGTTGCACGAGTCAAAAGACAGAAAAGCTATATGCAGGAAGCTGCTAAATTGCTGTAAGAGAGCAAACCTCAAGGTTATGGCGAAGATTCAAGATTTTCTTACTAATAAGGCAGACAAAGAAAGGTTTAATAACGAAAGAGTGCCTACCGACAGTTGTGAACATCATACTGCTGTGGGTAGTTGGCTGTACCTGTTCATCGGGTAACAGGTCAGCAGATGTTTCATCGGTGATAGCCGCTGGGAAAAGATCATCGGAACAGCCGTCAAACGACACGTATTCGCCGTATCGAGCGGCATCTGCGAAATTCAACAACCTAAAACAGAAAAAATCGTCTATCATATTTCACGATGCTCAGAGAAAGACCAACCTTCCATTGTAGGTGACGTCTCCTATGCAGCCTACAAACGATGACAATCCAAGTAGACTCGAATCGGTGGCGGGCACCGATCCAAAGTGCATTGTTCCCTCTGTCTGTGCGTATAACATGAGAGAATTAAGCTCGACTGATTCGCTATAGGCGTCGTCTACGTCCAGTTTCATTCTGAAAGAGAAAAAATAACTGAACACTCAGCGCCAATAATAATGGAAGAAACATTGAATAGCTTACAAGTGTTCGTGTTTGCTGCCGGTGACGTAATGCCACAAACCGTCGCCGAAGTCTTTGTTCGAAATTTGCACCATGGACACAGCCCTGCTGAATTCGCTCTTCATGAGGA